AAGAGACTCGCTTAAGCCCAAGAGTCCCCATAGCTCACTGTGGGACTCTACCCAGGGCAACAGATTGAGACTCTGTCTCAAAAAAAAAAGAAAGAAAGAAAGAAAGAAATGGTCTTGACTCAGGAGGTTGGGAACAAGGATTGGCCATTTCCTAGATAGATCATTTAAAAGTTATACCCCAATGTCGGAGCCAGGATGCGGGCCCCAACCCGATAACCTGTCAGGACATGGAGTGCTATACATTTTCGTTCTGGGTATGTCTCATTCAGGTCTCAGGTGCCGAAGCACCTTAGAAGTCACAGTCAATATTAGTAGGAGTGAGCTTCTCAGCAGCAGTGTCTCAACAGCAGTGTCTTAGTCCCAGCAGTAGTGTCTCCTGAGGCTATTTATAGACGTGATACACCACAGGTGTGAAGACTGCTATGCAATAATGTCGGTGTTCTCGTGCTCTTTAATGAGAGACCAAAGATGTTAAATCCCTTCCCCATTCCCTTATTAACGAAGTATTTCTCACAGGTGGCTCCTATACCCCAAGAATTAATGTACATGTATGTGGGTGTGTAAGTTCTGTTTTGGAGGGGAAATAGAAAGAGGGTAAGGTAAGAGATAGTATTTAAGCTAGGAGTGGTGGCTCACACCTGTAATCCTACCATTCTGGGAGGGCGAGAGGAGAGGATCATTTGAGCTCAGGCGTTCAAGATCAGCCTAAGCAAAGTGAGACCCCCTTCTCTGCTAAAAATAGAAAAAAATTAGCTGGGCATTGTGGTGGGCACCTGTAGTCCAAGCTACCTGGGAGGCTGAGGCAGGAGGATTACTTGAACTCAGGAGTTGCTGTGAACTGGGATGATGCCTTGGCACTCTAGCCTAAGCAACAGAGTGAGACTCTGTCTCAAAAAAAAGGAGGGGAAGGCATCTGTCCTTGGCAGAGGCTGTGGTAGTAGTAGGAGTCTAAATTAGCCCAGACTTTAGCTACTATAGAAAGTATACCTGAGTGAATGGGTGAGTCGGGAGGGGGGCAAGGGGGGAGCTTGGACCTTTGAACAACAGGGGCTCCAATCAAAAGATTTGGAACGTCTGTGATTTTGTGGCTAAAGGTGGATGACACCTCAGCTGATGAGGTTGAAGGAGTTGGTGGCTCTACAATTCAGGGACACGGGCTCCTTGCTTTCTAGAGCTGGCTGTACTCTAGTCCTTGCACTGAAATTGGCTCTGCCCCAGGTTCTCTGGGTTTCATTCTCCTCATCTGTGTAACAGGACAGAAGTGTTGGAAATGGATGAGATTAGCCCAAAAGATCCTGGCAGCTCAGGCTGTAAGATTTGTATCAGACCTGAGCTTTGAGGAGAAAATGGGGTAAGGGGATCTTAGAGACTAGTCTTAGGCCCACACTGTTAATTCACTGTCTCTTACTCCCCCATGGAGGCCTTGGTGCTCACATGCAATAATTAACTGATTGGCCTTTGTCCGATCCCATCTCTACTTCTGGGCTCCATTCCCACTGCCTGCCCCACTGCCCGTCTCCTAGGCCACTAAATCTCAGCCCGCCCCAGGAATAAGTCAAAATATAGTTTAGAGCAGAGCAGAAGCCTGAGCCCGACTGAGAGCCACCTCCTTTCCCAGGTATGACACTCCCCACTCTCCCGTCAGAGGTCACACACTCTGTGTATCCCCAGCATGTGTTAAAGGATTTGCTGAACAGGGAAGGTTCTCTCTTTTCTCATAGCACAAAGAATCCAGAAGTGGAGACTGAGGGCCAACAGAGTGTGGCCTGCCTGAGGTCAAACTACAAGTTAGTGTCCAATCCCCAAACAACCACCAAGGGTTCTTGCCCTTCAGGCCAACATTGAGTACTCAGCTCTTCTAGACTGGGGCACCAGGGTGGAGGACAAGGAGGATGAGGTTAGGGGTGGACCAAGATCTGTGGGTGAGACTAGGAAAACGAGCAAGGGGCTCACAGAGTGATGGAGGTCACAAGGAGAGGGAGAGAACTCTGGCTCCAGAAGCAGCTACAGAGAGACCACTGACTGAACAGATAGGAGCTACTGAGCACTGAAAAAACCCTTTCTCCAGCCTCCACCCCCAGCACAGGGAGTAACTGTCCCCATGAGAGCCGCAGCATGGTAAAGGTGCAGGGGGCAAAAGGCAGAGGAGCACTGGCCTAGACTTGAGTGGTCCCTGCTATGTGAGTTGGGGCACTTTCTCAAACTGTGTCTAATTGATTCCACGTATATTAACTGGCTGTCAGTTTTTGTTTGTTTGTTTTCTTTCCTGCATTTAATCCTCTGATGATTAAATTAAGCCTTAAGATAGTTTGTATCTATTTCCCCCAAGGCCAACGAGGAGGTAGAGTGAGGGCTGGGATTGGTACAGGCTGACCTTGAACCCTGTACTCTAAACTGCTAGGCTTTGTTTCCCTCAAGGGACCTAATCTGGAGAAGCATCTGGTGTTCCCCGACAGCACAGCGTAAATTTCTCTGGCCTGGCCCTCAGCATTTAGTGCGTGAACGGGTCAGCAGAGGCATGACCGGGCCCTGTAATGAAGGAATTAGCAATGAGAGAATGAATGAACCCTGGGATCAATAGAGTAGCAAAACAATGGATTGTGAAGTGGAAGGAGAGCTGGGTAGGAATTCAATTCTAGGCTTCCCCAGAGACCACCTAACTCAGGCCCTGCATGGAGTCCTGTCCAGGAGGCCCTGTCAAGATGCCTAAGTTCTGAGGGATATGGGGGCAATGCAGGTCCAAGGCAAGCTTGCAAGCTGGGATGTCACATCCACTTCACCTCACCCGTGGGGAATGAGTAAGAGGGAGAGAGATGTAGAGAAGCTGTGGGAAATAAATCTTGATCATTTTAGGAGGGCCCAAGCACTTGGTGACCAGTGCTGAGGTCAAAGGATTGAAGTGTTATGTGACCAAGGGGAGGCCAGCTCTGTGGTAAGGAGCACAGGAGCTTCCCAAGGCCCTAGGGCTGTTCAGCCAGCTGTCCCCCCAGCCTCTGTGCCCTGTGATACCCCTCATATATCCCATGGGGTTCCTGGGAGAGGTCTGCTGAACTAGCCCAAGTGATGACACTGGAAAGTGCTTTAAAAACAAAACAAAACAACCCCCCATACAGGTCAGCAGCTTATTTGCAGCTCCAACACTAAGGTATATTTATAAACTTTTACATGAAGTCATTTGATATCAAAAATCTTGTCTGGGGGCGGTGCCTGTGGCTCAGTGAGTAGGGAGCCGGGTCCATATACCGAGGGTGGCAGGTTCAAACCTGGCCCCAGCAAAATTGCAACAAAAAATAGCTGGGCACTGTGGTGGGCGCCTGTAGTCCCAGCTACTCAGGAGGCTGAGGCAAGAGAATCGCCTAAGCCCAGGAGTT